TAAGTTTTCACCTCATACCTGGAAAATCAACAAAGATAGAAAAAGATAGAAACAATTAATGTTAGAGGAGTTGTGGAAAGACAGGCACATTAATACACTAGTGGTAGAGCTATCAACTAATCTTACCAATCCAAAAAGTAATTTGGAAATTTGCTAAGACACTGACTAAAATAACCATACCCTTTAACGCAGAGCTCCTACTGCTAGATATACACCACAAGATCAATAATAAAAAGAAACGTTCCATATGCACCCAAATATTTATAGCAGCAGTTTTTGTTGTACCAAAGAATTAGAAACAAAGCAGATGTCCATCAGTTGGGGAGTGGCTAAATAGTGATACATGAATAATAAAACATTATTATACTGTAACAAAATATATGGAGAATACAAAGAAGCAAGGAAAGACTCACACAAACTAATAATACAAAATGAAGCAGAACCTAGAAAACAATATATACTACTAAAAACAACGTAAACGTAAAGAACTACAAAACTGAAACTGAATGCTATGAAATTATAATGACTACAATTATCTACAAAGAAATATAAGAATGCACCCCTTTCCCTTCTTCACAAGGAGGTGTGGTCTATGGATCTGGAACAATTCATATGATGACTGACTTGGCTGACACATTGGTTAGTTTTACTGAACCTTCCCCTGCTTCTTTTCTTATTCTTTGCTTTAAAGGACAGATCTTTGGGAAAAGAAGTAGTAGGTGATATAAAAACAAAAGCTATCAATAAAAATTTTAATTAAAAATTTTTTAAGATTATTTCACAAAATGCTTAATTCCTGAACTTACACACACACACACACACACACACACACACCCTATCACAAAAAATGACTGGGCAACATTTCCACTTGAGTTGATCACACCTGGGTAGTTAACACTGACAGAATGAAATTTTTATTTTATCTATTTACATCATGGAAATAATTCCTTTAAGACTAAACTCTATTTCCTCTTTCTACAAACTCTAATGGTACTTGTGGTAATATTGCTAATGTAAAATTACACAAATTTTAATCACCTTAATTCGTAAAAAATGTGAAGCACTTATTTTTCCATGGCTTTCTCTTTTGAATATTAGGTCAAATTCTGATATATAAGTTAAACTATTCATTTTCTAATCTCTTGGAAGACAAGAACCTATTGACATGGTATCTTTAATTTGGATCCAGGAAGCCTACTGTAAAGCACAGTGAATGAGTCAGAGACTCAGAATACACATCTAGATCTGGTAACATAGCTTTTTTTAATGCCAGACCCCTGACAAAGCCTATGCCTGGCTGGGCCATTATATCAAGTAGAGACAGTTTATGGTCAACAGGCTGTGGGGCTGAAGGCAGACCTCTGTGTGGGGAGAACTACTGTGATGTCACCAACTGTTAAGCTGAAGAAATATACTCTGCTCAAAGGCAAAATATTTTTGCTATGCATTTTTATCCTATTTAGAATACTACATGAAGAGCCATAGCTTGTCATCTGGCATTACTCGTCACGTCAAAAATACCGCTTTTCAGGTTTATAAAGCTTTTTTCTGAATATAATCTTGTCAAGTGGATAGTAAATCATTATCATCCCCACTTTATAGAATGGAAAACCACAGGCTCAAAAAAGGTTAAGTGACTTGTACTTGTCAGTGTCAAAGGCAGGATCCAAAGCAGGCCTCTGACTAAAAATCTGATGCTCTTTCCTTTATGCAATACAGCTTCTAATGCCATTTTTGTAACTAATGGCCAAAATTAAGATGGCTTCTTAAACATGTATAAGAATTTTCTTGCTTTGCTTAGATAAATCCACGCAAACAAAAGAAGCAGTGTCAACAGTAAAATATCAAGACAACACCCCTAGGGAAAGAGCTGTCAAAACATGCAAGTCAAACAGCTTTAGAAAGAAAATGGAAAACTTTTCTTCTAGGGCCCTGTGGAAGTTACGTGTATTAACTACCTAGTTCCATCCAAGCCAAATTCCCAATTTTAAGAATTTTGTTCTAAAATCCAGTCAAATCCCAAGTACTTACTTTTGTTGAACACTGTTTTCACTTACTGTTAAATTATATAACCAATTTCAAAATTTTCCCAGTACATTCAACATCCCCTTCCCTCTAAGACATTGTGTCAGTCCTTAAAAGACAATTAAGAAAGTGATGCATAATCTATACAAGATTCTTGGTTCCCTGAAAAACAGCAACGGTTATCTATAAAACAGAAAAAAAGGAAAAATACTTCCTGAAGACAATTTCCAATTCCAGTGACAACGCAGGTATTCTAAACGTTTCCAGTATAAAATTACATAAGGATAAGCACAGATCTCGGCATGCAGGGTTACCAAATGACCTCATTACCTTTATTCTGAGAGGTCAATGAAGAGTTTAACAAATCAAAGATGCTGAACATGGTACATGAAGGAAAAGAACCCAGATTAATAATGCCACTTTTTAAGGTCAGAAGTATCATCAGCACTCATCATCATCTTAGTCCACATATTTCTCTGTCTCATAAATACAGGTATTTTTAGGGACAGTTACTTCATTTATAATTGACCACATTTTCTTAAACAAGAATTTTAGATGAAGTGATGATACTAGAGTTCACACAATTTGGAGGGGAAAATACACAATTCCACAGAGGCCTTAACATTATGTACATTCAAGAAAAGCACACTCCAATCAAGATGTGAATATATTTTCAAAAGATCAATTAAATATCTAATATTTCAACTGAATGTACTTCGTTCCATGACAGTTTTTCAGAAATATCAACCTCCTAATTCATAACATGCCAGGGCTGGTGGGTTTTATGGGGCCATAAAAGACAATCTTATCTATGTGAATCCAAACATAGCCTTCCCTTAAATTTATGCGGATTTGGGTCAACCATCCAGTTCTGCTTCACTTTACTAGCCATGTCATGTGACTAGACTCAAACTCATTTCAAGAAAAAGGTGTGTTACACTGTATTTAGAACACATATTACTGAGAACAACCAGATGAGTCGTTTTAGTCCTATCAAAGAAATCTTGCTTTAGTTGCTAAGAAACTACAATTTTACTGTTACAGAGCATTGTAGGAAACAGCCAGAAATTAACTAAACCCAACCAAATCAAGGGCATCTTTCACCTATTGTACAAAATTAAACAATAATATCACAAGTCTATCAATAGCTAAAATCAAAATTATACTTTTAAAAAATTAAGCTATTAACATAAGTACTACCAGAAAAAGACAGTATGTTTAATATAGTCAGTGCTATAGATTGGAGAATGTGTTTTCTTCCTGACCCCTGTGGTGAACAGCTGATGCCATGAAACGCCAGATCTGATTAATTCTATTTAGTACTATAATCATTTTAAACTAATATTTCTCAGGAATTTGCTGCTACATTTCCTTTTTCCCCTAGAATTTTAAATCTATTTTTTTCTTTACAAGTACCCAAGTCTAAAAGAAAAATTTAAATTGATATAAAAACCAGTTAAAAAGTGTTAATAAAAATTATGAAAATCAAATTTAAAGTCCTATACCCAACAACAATTCCAAGAAATCTTCCTAATGAAAGAAAAACTGTCAGATTAGAAAAAAATAGAAATTGATTCTTCAATATAGACTATATGGCATGTCAATCATAAAGAAAATATTTTTCAAACCAACATGTTTTTTATTCATATTCTTCAAAGACTAAATTTTTACCAAAACTAGTTAATATCTTCCAGTCAGTTTTATCCATCTCTTCTCAGCATTTATGCCATCTCACACTTAATCTACTTAACATTTTCCTACACAGAAAGACCAAGTCCTAAACCAAATTTCCCCTTTCCATTCCCCTTTCTTTCCTGACATGGACTCTAGAAACACTAATTCTGTTGTCAAGCTCCTTATATACTTCCCTCTAAACCCCAACCCTGCACTTGTCTTAATACGTCCCTGCTTTTCCAAGCCTTAACCAATATCCTAGACCACCCTGACTTAAATCCCTAATCCTTACCCTTTCCTAGAGTCTTTCCACTTTCCACCCCCACCCCCGGCACCCTCCCAACCTCCCGTTTCCTCATCTCTTCTCTAACACCCTGGCTCTCCAGCTTCTCTATTAACTTCCCAAAAAGCAGAGTGCCAATCCTTCCTCTTCCACCTCTCCTCTTGCCCTAGTTTTCCTCCACCTTCTCCTTTTATTTAGGGAACTCAATTTTTCTCTCCCAACCACTCCCCTCAAGAGTCTTCTGCATCCCCGCTCCCCCGCCCCCCCCACTCCTTATTAATCTCTTCCCCCTCAACAATCTCATTTCAGGGCCATGTTCCTCTCCTCTATTCCCCAAGTCACATTCCAAGGAACACTAACCTCTCCCGATTTCCTCTCTCTCTCAAATACCCAGATCCTCCCCCACCCCCCATCTCTCCCATCTCCAGTCATCTCCCCACCTGGTCTTCTGGGGTTTTGGGGTGCACAACCCTTCCCCCTCGCTTTCCAGCCCACGCCTAGGCCCACGACTCCCCTCTCCCTTGCCCAGGCTCTGTACCCCCAACATTCGCTTCCAACCCCTGCACCTCACTCCCTCTGCTCCACCGAGGCCTTCCACATCGGCTTGGCCTCCGCAAGATTCCTGAACTCCTCTCCCCTACCCCCCCACCCCGTGCGACCAGCCTTGAGGAGGGTCTTCTTTAGTGTCCCCCCCTCCCCGGAAGCCCGGGGTGCCCGACCCTGTCCACCGCCCGGTGGAAGGAGACGCTCCCTCCGCACACGCCCCTCCCCCTCCCTCAGGAAGGGCCCTCTGCCTCGGACCCAGGCTCGCAGCCCCCCCGCACCGCACCCCCCCTAGGACTCGGACCCAGGCTCGTCAGACCCGCAGTCCTCGCCCCGTCAGGCCGGAGCTCCGCACCCCCCCCCCCCC